TTCGAACGAAAAGAAACGAAAGAGGACTTCTTCCAAGTGGTTGCCGTTCCTAACAATTTGTGCGACCTACATTGCGACTTGTTACGTAAGGTTATGCGCGTGTTATTATCAGTTCGCGCGCAAGAGAAAAGAAAAAAAAACTACTCTCTATATCGTTATCGATCGAAACAAAAATTATGAATCATCACATCGATTATGACCGATCCATTACAATTCCTCTCAATACAATTTTAATACTTTTAATACTCTTCGAATTGTTTAATTTTTCATCGACAACGATCCTTCTTCTTCGTGTTGTTCTTTTCGCGAAAGAGAGATTTTCCCGTCGAACAATGCGATCGAATGCGCAGCCCCTTATCGAGAGGTTCTCCTCATCATTTCGTCACGTGGTATTTCGAGAGATGACCTTAGGGAAAAATCGATGCCGTATCCACACACTTTTGTAGGACACGAGGAGGTGGGAGGCTCTCTCTTTCGCCTATTGTATTGCCAACGTGCATTCTTACCTGTGTGCATCTGTTGTCACCGGGGAAAGAATGTTATCTTTCGATGTTATGTATGTATACGTACTCTCTGATTATTATTTTTTTAAATAACATTCTTGTACATTTTTGTTGAATTCTTGTTGAAAAGCAGCTGCTCGATATCTAATCTTGTTGTGCACACAAGAATTGTTGTAATGTTCCTTCTTTTTTTTATTTTATTTATCGATGAAATATACACTCGAAACAACATTCGAATTCTGGTAAAAATATCTGTCACGAATTAGGTAAGAAGCCTGTGGAGGAGAAATGATAATAATAAGAACTTTTGCTGTTGTTTCCAAGATATTCTTCTCAGAGATAAACGATTATAACAGATTATTCCCTTATCTAAAATTCTTTTTCACGAGTGATTTTCACTATCGATTTTTTTAACGGATCGGAACAATAAAAATTAATCCATCGTTGAAACTTTCCGTTTGAAATTCGCGGCGGCAAATCGAGGCGGGAAATTCAAAAAGCGTCCTAACCTTTTTCGAATTAACAAATTTCGATAATAAACAGAAGAATATTTAATCAAATATATATGAGCTTAAAATACAAAATATATAAATCTCTCGATTTTGCATAAAAATTTTTCAAAAGATACAAGGTGGATTCTTAAAGTTGAAAAGGCAGCCCGTTGCAGAACGCGATGACGATTCGTTAAACGCCACTAATAAATAGCGAGATGTGAATGAATTACAATTCGATAACGAGACGAATAAAAGTGCAATAGGCGCACGATCGAATCGAATTAAATCATCGTACAACCTGTTCCATTGTTTAAAAATAAAACGAACGTTTATGGGGCTTGATTGGAGGCGACCTATCGTTATCGAAATTAGACTTGCCGGCGCAAACGCCTGAGTCATTCGACTCGACTGCCAACGCGGCCGATAGAACTTATTGACGAGGCGCGCATAACAAGCGAGCGATCGAGAAGATGGCAGTTGGCGCGTGCAAATACTTGGCAAAAAAAAAAACTCTCTCGAAAGTGAACTCGTCGCCGCGACCCCCTTTAAATCGTGCACGAACTTTCATCCGCGTGTATAATTTCACCGCGAATGAAACTGCCGAAGAAAAACGTCTCGCGTTCACTCTCTCACGATTGTCGCGCGAGACAATCGTTGAATCGATGATAACCTTTTCCCCTTCCTTTTCCCTTCTCGCGATTCTTAATTCGCGCTGCCCAGCCGCGCATTGAAAACGTTAGCAGCCGCTTCGTGGTTGGTGCTCGGTCCAATACGCGGTTGTTGAATAAACCATCTGCTCGTTCAAGCGTGTACTACGTGTAACAGAGTGTGTGTGTGTGTGTGTGTATAACGTATATATACGTGTTCTCGAAACTGGAATAGTTTGTTATAATTAAAGTTATGGTTGTAATAACCAAGTTCCTCGATATATTTGCAAAATTATAATCAATATTTTGGGACGAGTCATTGAATAATAATACGATTCGTGTTGTTTTTTTTTTTTTTTCTTTTAAATTTCAAGGCAATTTCTGCTCGTTTCGAGTTGATCTTTCCAATCTCGAGTAACTTAATTAAGATATTTATGAAGGATTAATTCCTTGCCTATTCGAGCTATTTAAACGATGAAGTTACGAATTTGCATAAGTAAAACGAGTTTTATTCCTTGAAGCTATAACAGATCTCTCAAAGAGGGGGGGAAAAAAAAGAAGAATTAAATTTCATTGTCAGAAAAGCTCGTTTAAATATTTTTTTCGAGCACGTTCGATCCGAAATGAAAATTATCGGGGAAAATAGGGAAAAATCTTGTCGTGGAAAATTAACCATCAAAGATCGAATTCTTTCTCTTCCTGCGTGGAATGGCCATGACTTTCGACCTGAAAATCAGCAGGAGTGCGTTCACCCTGATTCGATTCATTGACGCCTTTCTAAGCGGCCCGACATTCCAACCGCGTGCTACTCGCTTCTTTCGAATCTAGATTGCGTAGACCTTTCTTTCCTTTCATCCGACTTCAATCTTGTATCGATCGAATGTATCGATTTCATCAATTTTTTTTTTTTTTCAAAAAAGTAATGAAAAATCGCGAAATTTTAACTGTACTTTTTTGAAAACCTTACCAATTCGTAAAATAAATCTTGTTTCTCGTTACTTTCTTCCAACTAATTGCCTTCTATCTCGTTATATCACATTTAATGGTGCTTTCGTATAAATGTGACTAAAAAAAAAAAAAAAAATAAAGCAGACGTACTTGAAATATTTTTCGAAGCTACCTGCATCAAATTACGCGTACATTTCGCATGCAAATTCCAATTTTTCGCAAACATCTCGCCGACTCGATTTCGACATCGATTCCAATTTCCAACGAATCGTGAAAGGATCGTAATGGATGGAAGAGCTGCGTATCCCCGATATTGAAGAAGCTTGATCGATCGATACATTATCGCGTTCCTTTTATGCGTAATAATTCAGCCCGGATAATACAATACACGGCCCCTCTCGGCCGATTTATTCAACGATCGAGTATAGAATTATATCAAGGAATCTATCATGTTCGAGACCCTCGACGCATCTCGGCGCAGGAGTCATAAAAGGCCTTAATCTGTTTAACTACGATCGGCCCCTGTACGATCGGCTTGCAAAACTCAATTGATGAATAATGTTGGTAAATAAATTTCTTATTTGCCTCGCGTCAACTTGCTCGCCTTTCGCAAATTGGCAACGAAGATGGACGAGCCGAGTAAAATAAAAAATTACAAGTATCGAAATTTTTTATCGAAGGTGATTAATGGACGTTGGTGAGGAATGAATTTTGTCCAATTTCGTTGAAAGAAAGAAATTTGCTAATTAGAATGAAAATCAATAGCGCGTGGATCTGTCGCATATGGCACAGTTGCATCGATAACGCCTTGTACGATGTGTCCCCGATACGTTTCTATTATATCCGCAAGGTTTCGAATTAGAAATGAAGGACAGCCTAAAAGAGGATCGTCGACGGAGGGATACGTTGAAACGGACGTGTCGTCGTTTTCTTTAAAAAAAAATTACATACTCGAATAATGGCACGATGAAATTCCAGTTCTTCCGGTGAAACAATCTAAAAGTGTCTTCGAAATCAATCATTACGAATAATATAATATATGAATAGTCTCGTCTATAATCATACGATCATCGTATAATTGTATTCTGATGATACAAATGTAAATTTTGTAAGTCGAGGCGCAATCGATTATGTAATTCGTATGGGAAATTGTACGTTGATATTTATCGGCCGACCCCAATTTTCGAATTCCAATCTCGGTATTCCGATTGAGTTGATCTGTTTCGAATATTCTAGCGAGAGATATTTGGTATATTTGGTGTAAATAATTTTTCACTTGAATAAACTTCTATGGGTATGTTGTTAAATTTTTATGTTATTCTTGCAAAATTATTCGTACATTCGTAATTATTCGAAGATATATATAAGAGGAAAATGGGGCGATGTAAATATTTTAAAATAAATGTGATTCGCGTATAAATTCACAGGATAAGTGAAAGAGAGTGTACAGAAATATTTCGAGTAAACGTGGAGTGAACTTAAAACGATATACATTTATCTTCCGTAAAAGGACCAAGAGACCCTTAAGGGCGATAAAATCTAACTAACTGTGAGTTAGCATTCACGACCAACGTCTAAAACGTTTATGAACGCAATTAAGACGCCAGACGTTGCTCGCGTCACGCCCGCCAATTTAATCCAGTTATTTTTATCTTTTTCCTCGTTAATTATCTTTCGTTTAAATATATTTCTCTCTGGAAAACCGTTTTCCACAGATTTTGTATTTCACGCGATCAAAGACGCGTTTCATAATGATTATTTCGATTTTATGCGCTATATAAAATATATTCATGTCACGTCGTATAATATAATATTAGTTCGAAATAAAAGAAATATTTTCAATAAAAGTAGAAAATACGAAAAAGGTCAAACGATCATATATGCAAATGATACAATATCACGCAACCATTGATAAAAATCTTGATCCTACGTCACATATAATAAATAGAAGGAAGCTGGTTATTTATTAAAATGAAAAATGTTATAAAATATGATATATAAGAAATTATCCAAAAAAAAAGAAAAAGAAAAATTAGCAAATCAAAATCTAGAATTTATAGTTAAATTGAAATTTGAATTAAATTTCGAATTAGATTTCAGTGAAGTTGAGATACATTTCGTGTTAATGTTTAGATTGAATTACAATTTAATTTAAATTCAAATTTTCTTAAATTCAAAATTCATATTTTGTTTTTTATTCATTATTTATTACGGGAAAATATTATTACATATGATACAATTTAAATTTTATAAAACAGAGCATGTATGTATAATTTCTTACTAGAATTGGTAAATCATTAAAAGCGGATACGCAGGGATACCAACCCATCAATTACAACAAACACGTACTATACGTTTTGTCAATACAGTTGACCAGACACTTCATGATGTCTCGACGTTTTTACACATTTATTCAGGTCTCTAAACTCTTCCCAACAAACGAAGAGACCTCCCGGTCTTTAGAACCGGTCCCGAGTCGTTCTACCTGTACCGATTTACCGATATCAACCTGTGCGTAAATACTAAACACATAATGTATTGCTTGCGCATGCGCATGACTGGATTCGACCTGCCCCTAACCTCTTCAACACAATCTTTAGAAACTGTCGTGGGAATGAACTGACGACTGACCGGCTGAATCCAGTCATTCGAATGTGAACTTTCTTGTGGAATGTGTGACGAGACACCTTTGTTACTCTTTTTTTTTTTTTCATTCTCTCGTGCTATTGTCTTTTTCTTTTCTCTTTCTTGTTTGCTCAGACATTGCCTATACAAGAGTGTTGATTAGTTGACGACACGCGTCCTTGACTGTTTCAGATTATACGGTATAGTCTATTATTGCGTGATAAAATTCAATTTATTTATAGTTTCTTGTTTTCCTATTTTATTAACCGTCGACTGGTGAATTATCATAAAATATTAATACGATGTTCTCAGAAGAAGGAAGATCTTGAAAGAGATAACGTCTGCAGTTAATACCCGTTTGAGAGTTTCGACGTTCGTATCGTTTTGGAAGATAATTTTGAAATTTTGCCAGGAAGTATATACGTGTGGTATATAGTATATATATATCAGAATGAGAGCACGCGTTTAAATAAAGGATAAATAGAAAGCACACCTTCGTATCGTGTCCTTAGATCGTTGACGAAGCCAACTACAATGTTGGCAAAATATCAGAAACATTTTCCAAAAGAACACGATTTACGCGAAGTCTCCAGAGGCATTGTGATGAATTGAATTGAACAAAATTTTATTTGCGTTATAAAGTTTGTTAAATTTTTGTAAATAAAAATCTAGGAAATTCTCTGATCTAATTTATGATTACGTTTATGATATATTACAAGTGAAACTATTATATATAAGTGTAAAACGACTATCCAAGCATAATCACATACAACACGTGTTCGTGCGTTCATTATGGAATTATTTAGCAATGGCGATCGTATTGAAAAAATTACTAATAAAAAAAATTTGAATCAATAATATCTTAAATAAATCTTGTAGAATTTCTTTATAATTTTGCTTCAGAAAAATAATTTTTCCAACGTGGCTCAATCAATATGTACGGATCGAACGCATAACTGCATTCAATAGAATATCGTATTACTACTTAACGTATAGATTCTTTTAGATGGGCATATTATTCATAAACATTATTATGCAAACACATAGACCGAATAACAACTTCTTTTACAATTAACGATGATTCATACAATTATACAAAACGTGATTTCCATTGATAAATGTTCATTAATTTTTCCAACAGAAACTTTTCAATAGAATGTCTGTTCATTCAATTCCGTTCACGAATGAGCTTTTACGAAGTTCGAGTTCCTTTGTCTATTATTTAGACCTTTTATATTCCGACTTCACTTCCTTTTTTTCACTCTCAATTTCTTTCTCGATTCTTCTTAATCGAGGAAGGAAATTTGGTCAACCATGGAATTTTTACACGATATTAAAAAATGCAAAGAAAAATATATTTCTATTAACCGTGAAACCTCTTGACCTCAATCTTTATCACCCTTCAGCGCATCGTGGGAAACTCTTTTCAAGAATTGTGATTTGGATATATACGCGTCCATACACATTTTTATTTCGCAGCATTCATTTTCTTCAGATAGAAACGAATGTTAGATCCGTTGTATGGTTCCCATGAAGCGACTAGCGAGCCAACTTCCTGTTGAAGAAACAGATGTGGCCTTTCTAGGGCTCTTTTATTGTGTTTCTCAATTCTCTTTAACATAAGAATAGCTTCGAAGGGACTTGGTAAATATCGAATGTACCATGACGAATTGTCCAATTTATTTGTTCCAAATATATTTTTTAAATTAATTTTAAATTAAGAAAAAATATCTTAATTACTGTGCATAACCTTGAAAAAATTTTTCTAAAAATTCAATATTATTTTTATTAATTACAAATGAAATTATTAAATTGCAATTATATAATTTGGTATTAACGTCTCGTAACTAGAAAGAATGCAATTTATTACAATCGCTTTCACTGGTATGATGACTGTCATTTCCGGAATAGCGCGGATTCTTATCGTAAATGATGCGTTTACCTGAAGAATTTTTAATTTTCTCTCTCTCTCTCTCTC